ATTTGCCAACACAAACATACAACAGCACCCTACAGCCTGTGCCCTCACAGCTGAGTCCACAAATAGTCAATGAATCTTTAACGGTAAGTCCAAGCTCAGCTGCAGTGGCACAGGCTGGCTGAGATCTCATGGGAAACCTCAGTCCAATTCCTGGCCTACTCTAAAAGCCAGGCACAGCAATTAATCAGAGGCAGGAGGACTGCACCATGGTGAAACCCTGTTTAAAAAAGAGAAAGGAAAAGAAAATAAAAAGAAAATCCAGAGATCTCTAAGTTGATGCCTTGTTTTTCTGTACTTCTTGGTATTCATATCAGCATACAGAGACATTAGAGACTATTCAACCAGTGCTAAAGATCCGACGATTTCTTTCAAAAATAGTCACAGCAACATGTAAGGCACTAAGGCCCTAAATTAAGATTTGTAGCAAAAAAAGGTCCCTAGTTCTGGTGTCCTCTCTATAAAGGGCTACTTTGTCTTCATTTCCAGAAACATAAGAGAGAGAAAGAAAAAAGTCACAAAAGTTAACTGAAATTGTGGATATGGGGAGAGGACAAAGAAGAGTAAGGTTATTTCTGTTTTGTGATGGGTAAGTTCCCCAAAGTTTCTGCTTGTTGTTTTTTTAAATTGCAGGCATCAGAGCTTTTTAAAGTTCATCTTAATACCTTCCTGACTGATTTTTCAAAGCTAGCAGTTTGGGATCTTACTACCAAAAAAACACACAGAAAAAACAAGTGAAAGCCCAGAGAACGAGAAGGTGTGTACAGCAAACCAAAAGTTTTAATTAGACCATATCAAAGGAACAGACCAGTGACATTTTAAGTATTACAAAGCGGATGATGCCTTTATGTAACCTCTATATATCACACTATGGAAATAAATAAGCTAATAGTAACAAAAAAGCTAGCTTCTCAACTTACCTTTACCCAATGCCATTCAGCAACTGTCTGCACAGACCAAGAGGGATAAAGCTCTTCCTTTACAAAACGTAGATGTTTCTGTCTATTGGTCACCCAAGTAACAACGAGACAGTTTGGAGCAGCCAGCTTAGGAATAGGTATTTGCTTTATTTGCAGTGGTGATAAATAACTGTACCTAAAACAAGCAGAAAAAAATATAAGCAAAATTCACTGCAAAAAAGAAAAATAAGCAGGTAAGGAGACATATAAAACTGACACAAGACTGAGCTCCTATAAGCTAGTGATTTCTGTAGCTAAACATGATGCCACAGTGCCACCCAGTGGAAACATTACTACACAAACTAACGTGTCAGAAGTAACTTCATTTTTCTTCTTTACTAGTTTAAAATTGTCAGACTGTATTTTTTTTTTAATCACTGTAAATGTATTACATTTTGGTAATTTTATTATTCACAGTGAAATTTTCTCCTATTCAAAATTAAACAAATGTTATTGTTTGGATCTTGTAAGCCCAAATTTTATCTACTTAAGCCCCATTACAGTGAGTCTTAAAATTAGTATCTCAGCAACTCACATCAAATCCTACAGATGTTACCTGGCACCAAATAAGCGTTGTGGGGACCAACAGATGGCGTAATGGTTACATTGCTGAACTTCCACGTAGTCGACTACGGTTCAAGACCCAGACCCTGTAGCTTGAAATTCACACTGGGTCCATGTGTGTGCATACCCAAAATTCTAAGAGGAGAATAGAGGAGAAGGCATTGTAGCATGGTGATCCCCCGGGGGGGGGAGGGAGGGAGGGGGATTCCTCACTTTATATTTGTCTCTCTATGTCCTTCCTGTGAGTGCATGCACTCTATAGCAAAAATCTCCTTCTTAAAAAATAAATAATAAGTGATGTGAAGTTGGTAATGCTTAAGCTAATTCATTTCTATATAGCTTCTTTTAGTTCTATAATCCTCAAACTCTGCACAAAATGATGACCAGCTCTTGTATCATCACACCAACCCTTATTCCCATCCCACTTTATTTTCAACCCCTAATCTATCGTCCTTCTATTCAGTCCCTTGCCCAAACTCACTGTTGGAAGATGAAGCTAACCCATGCATTATTAGTAAAAAGTAAAAACCACCTGACTCCAATTAATCCTCTCTCTCCTTCCTCCTTTAGACACCTTTACTTATCTATCAATACTTCTATACATTTATTCTCAAAGGAAATGACATGACTTTTATGAATAAACATTCATATTCCTTCTTGTATCACTAATTCTGCAGAAATCACTGAGCAAATTTTAAAATGTACATCTTTATTTGTTGCAATGCAAAGTATACAATATCATCTACTCTTTGAAGGAAACAGATGTACATATTCATGATCCTGGTTTAGGTAAAAGTATCTTTTTTTTGGGGGGGAGAGGTTTTTTTGCTATAGGGCGCATGCACTCGCCAGAAAGACACAGAGAAACAGAATGTGAGAAATCACCCTGCAGCGGGGATGGCCACGCCGCAATCCCTTCTCCTCCATTCTCCTCTTGGGATCTTGGGGAAGCACGGACATGCGCCTGGCGTGAGTTGTAAGCCACCGAGTCCGGGACGTGAACCACGGTTGACTACGTGGGAGTCCAGCAACATAGCCATTACGCTAACTGCTGGTTCCCTATAGATGACTTCTTTTTTTTAGGTTTATGTTATAGGGCATGTGCACTTGCCAGAAAGACAGAGAGAGACAGAAAGACTGAAAGCGAGAAATCACCCCTGGGGGGTAGGGGATAGTCATGCCGCAATCCCTTCTCCTACATTCTCCTTTTGGGAGCCTGAGCATGCACGCACACACGCCCAGCATGAGTTTATGCCACCAGGTCTGGGACTCAAACCGCAGTTGACTACATGGGAGTCCAGTGACATAGCCATTACGCCAAATGCTGGCCCCAAAGGTATCTTAAATACAATACCAAAAGTACAAACAAAAGAAAAAATAGATAGATTAAATCAGAATTAAAAATTCTGTGCTTCAAAGGACATTATAAAGTAAAAAGACAACCCAAAAAATGGAAGAAAATATTTGCAAACCATGTATCTGGTAAGGGTCAAGTACCCAAAATATCTAAAGAATTCTTACAAATCAACAATTAAAAAAAAAAAAAAGTTTAACTGGGTGAAGGATTTGAACAGCCAGTTCTCCAAAGAAGATATACAAATGGCCAATACAGACAACAAACAATAATCAAACGACATTAGTCATTAGAGAAATGCAATTCAAAATCATAAAATATCACTTTACATCTAATGGGAAAGCTATGGAAAACACCAAAAAGTGATTATGTAGAGAAACTAGGAAACTAAAGCCAGCCCAATAGCACAGTGGTGAAGTGCTATGAATTGGAAGCCAGGTCCCACATGGCTGAGGTTTGAATCCTGGTCCTAGCGGTTTGAAAGATACCAGGCATATATGAGTGCATGCCCAAAATCCTAATGGGAGGGGGACTGGAGAAAAGGGATGGTGGTCTGACCACACGCCACATGGGAGTCTTTGTCTCTTTGGCAAATGCACACACACTCTGACAATTAAAACAAAAAAAATGTGGAAAACTAGAACCCTCATTGCTAGTAGAATGTAAAATGGTACAGACATCATGAAGAATAGTTTGGCAGCTCCTCAAAAATTTAAAGATAGAATTACCACAAGGCACAGCAATCCTACTCCTAGGTATATACACCCAAGAGAATTCAAAAGATATTGCCCAGAGATGACAGAATGTCCAAGTTTGAAGGCATAGGCCTCAAGACTGACCTTATTTCTTTTCTTTTTTTTTTTTTTTGAAGAGGTTTTTGCTATAGGGCACGTGCACTCGCCAGACAGACAGA